CGCTTTCTAAACCAACGATTTTTTCTTTGTTTTGCCAAAAATAATCGTTAATATTTGGCATCAAATTAAAAGTAAATTGTTTTTTCCTAAAGATATGCACTCATCGACTAATCACTGCCTGTTCTCTACCGGAATCGCAAATGCCTTACGGCTAAAGACAATTGAGATTTGAATACATATAAAGCAGTGTATAGTGTAGTGTATTGTAGTATATCTAATACGGTATTCATTTCCATACATTGATAACTCGTATAATTGTGGAGACAGAAGCGTATAGAAAGCCTCTGGACATTAAGTAATTGTTAGCCACCCTCTCCTCCTCCAGTACTCCACTTCTTGTGCTAACCCTTATGTATACTGCGATGACATTTACGACTTTATGGTGCGTTTGAGGCGCGATTCCGGTCCCTCTCTCCTCATAATAATTATTAATGTTTGAAATATTCACCTAATTTTGTTTTTGCTCTTCATTTGCGGCCCAATACTCGCTTCCCCTCTAAAACTGCTGTTAAACGGAAATTATTATCTTTTCTTACCATAACAGCCGATGTATTGCATATATTTAAGTATTGCACACATTGTTTGCCCGTATATTAAGAGTATTGCGGCTGTCATTGGGAAGGGTCTGATGGGTAACCGATGAATAAATAATTATTCATTAAAAAAACTGAGACCATTTAAAATCACATCAATATTTCTAAGCCGTCGACTCATTTAATTACTCCTCTAATATCTGTATCACAAAGTCTTCAGTCTTAATGTATTGAAAAAGTTTTAAAACTGTTTTTTATTTCTATTGTTTCAATATTTATGTCAATTCTTTGTTTCGCTGAACTGAAAACGAAAGCACGAAATGTCAAAAGCGATCAAATTATAGCTCATTATTAATATGTATTATTCATCTTCTATTGAATTATAAAATAAAATGAAAAGTTAACACAAAATGTATATAAGAATAGAGAAACTGAATGCGAGACTAAACGCTAGAAAGAAAGCCATAGCTCTTGTGTTAACTTCAAAACACACACAAACTTATACTAAAACTTATATAAAACTTTGCAAAACTTATATTGATGCATTTGTTGTATTGAATAGTGCCCGATGGAAAGCCAACAGTGGTATCTGCAGGCAATCTGAGCAGTTCGTCGCTGAGGGTCGAGTGGTTGCCCCCAAACAGGAACACAATTCATGGAGAGTTTCTCGGATATCGAGTCAAATATCGAAAACACGGCCCAACTCTAGGCTTGGAGAGAGAGATCACACTAAGAGACCCAGACTTGAGAGTGAGTGCTCACTACCAGTGCTCACACATACTATGTTTTAAATGGCATACATGTTCCCTCACTCCCAAATACCCCAATACTACATTTAACCATCATATATAACATTCATAACATAATAGTATTATACTTTACATGTTTAGTTCATTGAGAAATACTCGCCACACAAAGAAATGTTTTTATTTAGATTTATATTAATTTTTAATGTCATTTATTCGCTCCAGTCGTACACTTTACGGAGTTTAGAGCCGTTCACTGAATACATGATCAGTTTACAAATATTCAACCCGGCGGGTGAGGGCCCGGCCACTGCCGTCACCGCCACCACCGATGAAGGAAGTGAGTGTGAAGTCGATATATCCAAACATATATTTCTTTTCATCATTTATTTTAATTAAATTGTCGTCTCTTTTAGACCTCTAATGAGCGAAATGTTTGTCTTTTTCACACAATTATCGCATTTATTACTATTAATTGTATTTAATTTTTAGGTTAAAAGCATAACAATAGACTTAATTCGTTGTCGGAATATATCTTATGAATGAGAAATACATCACAAACTTTTGTTTCAGACAATTGTTTCCCTAAAACTAAGTACTCATTAGTGCTATAATTAGAGACAAATGAATTGCAAGTTTTGTGTTTATATTAAACTCATACACATATTTAAATTCTTTAATGCAATCGATATCTAAATTAACCGCAAATAGTTGTATAATTATAATGTCATTGTTATGCAGCTATAAAAAACATGAGAGACAGACTATTAGAGACGATAATTAATTATGAAAACACAATTTGCATACAATAAGTGTAATTAACATTTAAATCACACCATATTCTAGTGTCGAGTCCACCGAGAAATGTATCGCTGGTTCGGGTGACCAATACTATGGCTCGACTCCAGTGGTTGGAGCCGAAGGCGGCCAACGGACGACTACAGGGCTATCGGATATATGTCCTCAATATAGCCGCCAATTTGACTGAAGTGAAGAAAGTGGTTAATCCTCAACAATACTCAACCGACTTTAATTTCACACAATTATCGCATTTATTACTATTAATTGTATTTAATTTTTAGGTTAAAAGCATAACAATAGACTTAATTCGTTGTCGGAATATATCTTATGAATGAGAAATACATCACAAACTTTTGTTTTAGACAATTGTTTCCCTAAAACTAAGTACTCATTAGTGCTATAATTAGAGACAAATGAATTGCAAGTTTTTGTGTTTATATTAAACTCATACACATATTTAAATGCTTTAATGCAATCGATATCTAAATTAACCGCAAATAGTTGTATAATTATAATGTCATTGTTATGCAGCCATAAAAATGAGAGACAGACTATTAGAGACGATAATTAATTATGAAAACACAATTTGCATACAATAATTAACATTTAAATCACAATATTTTAGTGTCGAGTCCACCGAGAAATGTATCGCTGGTTCGGGTGACCAATACTATGGCTCGACTGCAGTGGTTGGAGCCGAAGGCGGCCAACGGACGACTACAGGGCTATCGGATATATGTCCTCAATATAGCCGCCAATTTGACTGAAGTGAAGAAAGTGGTTAATCCTCAACAATACTCAACCGACTTTACACTCAATAATCTAAGTATGCATTTAATGGCAATTAATATTTCGCATATTATTGTCACTCTTTATCGCAGCCAAACTGACGGCACATTTCATTCATTGAACCAAATAATCATTTCGTTAACTCTTTGTTGCACTGATTTTGTCGCTATTTCTGTAATTAATTATTGATTTTTATTTTTCTACAGAAACACACGAAATAAATATCGATTTCTGTTTGTGTTTCTTATTTTTCTCGACAAAAGTCCATAATTTACTGTTAAATATACAGAACTCTCTTTGATTTACACACGAAGTGAAAGATTTTTGTTGTCCTAATCCTTGACTTTTATAGAGATTGACATCAAATCAAATGTAAATTCCAATCAATAATACATTGTGTGCTGAATGTTAAGCCTTTTTGGCTTATATTCAGTTCAATGAATAATGCGGACCAATAATACTGTAATTTAATTAATGTTTCATTTCATATATTCATTGTATTTATTGGATATGAGTTCAGACAATGTCATACATAAGACCCGATATTTATAGCGATATAATAAGAAAACAATGCAATGAAGGGAACAGTACTTCTCATTCACAAAGACTTGAACTCAGAGCCCATCCTTCACTTCTATTATTCAATATATAATTCAATACTACTCTGAATGACATATCATTGAAAAGTTTTCAAGTTATGCCAAATACAAGTGTTTTATAAAAAATGATAATTTTTCCAAACAATAAACAATATTTAATGCATTACTAGACTCTCACTCTCTAAGCGGGGTTTCTCTCGATTCATATTTATTATCCATAAAAAAAATCACTTCTAGTCCTTTGGTTGCGATAATCGAAAATTCTTTTGTAACTCAAAATATTTCTCAATTAATTATTGTTAAACAAAACAATTTCCAAATTGTTTCCACAGAACCGTTCAGTCAATACAAAGTGTGGGTAAAGGCTTATACGATGAAGACTGAGGGCGAGTCGAGCAAAACGCTTGAGTTCCGTACGGACGTGACGGGTCCGAGCGCTCCCCTCATTGT